GGAGAAGCCGAAGAGCAACATGCTCAGCCCCGTACCAAAAAGACCTCCAAGTAGGACCTTCTTCCGTCCTACCCGATCACTCAGTCGGCCCCAGAAAATGCCACTGATGCATTCCATGAACGCAAACGATGATGTGACCATGCCCGTGTACATGGAAATTTGGGCGGTAGAATGTCCGGTCATGAAGGATTCGACCATGAAGTATGCGTAGGGAAATATCGACATGAATGCGATTGGTTCGCATATCCGGCACAACGCTACCCATCGTTAGCGACTGTCGTGTACTGTTAGATCATGGCATGCTGCTCACCAAGTACGGCCATCTGTCGTGTTGGGAAAGGTGTTATATCGCTGCCCGCGGCAGCTGCCACGCCATACCGAGCCATGTTGATAGTATCGAAGTCGAATGTAAGGTGGTGTGCAGGTGTAGAGGTCGAGGTCGTCGAAGAAGAATGTCAAATACTATGACAGCAGGTGGTGAATGTCAAGTGAAGTGGGAGTCGACTGTGACAAATAAGACATGTGCGAGTTTGCGACAGATTAGTACCTCCAGGGCTCAGAGGTCAGAGTCAGTTTGCAAAGGACGCGAGCGTCACAAGGTATATAAGGAGCAGCAAGATTTAAGTGGCGTCCTCAAAACGGATAGACCGCTGGGATGAGCAAGGATTGTGGCGGCGGGGAAGAAACGGAGAACAAGCGGTGATGGCAGTGGGTATGGATACGTAGTGTGGGCGGATAGGGACAGCGGAGGGACCAGCGAATGTAAAATGAGTAGCGGATCCGTGATGCCATCGTTGCTACGAAACAGCCCACCGTCTGTCGATAAGCGACCGGAAAATGCAGTGCTGGCAGCCGAGCTGTACCTAGCTCTGTTTTTTGTGACTCCATGTCACCGGACGGGCTCTGTGTGAGCATGCGAGAGCGAATGCAGGCCCCTGAAAGTGGGCCAGGGCTGGGCTGGGGAAGCTTTCTGCTCATCGAACAAACCGGTCCGGGTTGGACGGAATCCACGACATTGGACGAGCTAGAAGGAACCGAGTAAGGCGGACCAGGGAGAGTTGCAAGAGCGTTGGACGTGGCTCGTAAGAGGAACAGGATCAACAGAGCAACCCGACTCCCCGGGACCCAAATCCTCGGCGCTAGAGATGCCCGCATGCCTCTACCGACATTCAAAGGCACTAGCGCCCTGAGTCGCGCCACAGCAGGGGAGACCCTGTCGCTCTGTGAACGACATGGCAACATGCCGGCGACTTGCGGCTTGCTTTCCTTCCCTAAACGGACAGCGCGGCTCAGAGGCCGATGCCCCGCCAGCAAATAGGACGTCGTGCCGCCAATGGTGTAGAACACAAGGCGATGCTAATTTTCGCAGCGCCCAGTTCAGGGGCACCAGGACACCAAGCCGCGGTCAGACTTTTGACGTGAGGCGAGTCAGAAGATTCGCCGCAGAATTTCGAGAAGCAGCTTGGGCCATGCAGCTGGGGCCCTCGTTGTCATTGATGATGAGCGTCTGTCATGGCATCATACCTTGCTGCTTGATTGCTCCGACAAACCCCCAAAAAATAGCGGTGTACTGCATGCCTATTCGGCAGATGCACACCAACCGGTCACGCGGCAATGCGCATTAGACAACGTCGCTTTGTTGCAATGCCTGGCGATCCGGATGGTCGTCAGCGCCACAAGGCACGAGTCGCGGCGCTTGAATGGCCGAGGAGGACGACGCAGCGCGTTTCGTATCCCTCAGATCGCAACCTGGCACTAGGCGTGCGGCGATTTCATTTGCTGCCCCAGGTATCATCTCTCGTGCCCCCCTGTCCGGTCAGCGTGGTTTCGAAGCTTCCCACGCCTGCGCATTGGGCCCAACCGGGTCGCAGGACGTGGCTTGCTGCTTGCATCTGTCATTGCTGGTCACACATCGTGATTGCATTCTCATCAGTCATCAAGGCATCATAACCCTAGGACACCCATCAGCTGACGAGGCTCTGCGCCCTCCCGCGGCGACGTAGCATCTGTACTGCTGCCCATTTCAGACCGCTTGATTAGGTTTTGCCAGCACTCCCATTTCCGGTGGGCCCCGGACATGCTTCCGTCATGTGCTGTATGTGAGCTGTCGCGGTATACCAGCGATCTCTGCTTGCTGATGCAAAGGTGTCCAGGGCACAACGGCTGTTTCGACGCAACCTGGCCTAAGCGGTCATGGCGGTGTGGATATGTAAGGCTGGCCTGCAGATTTCCACGCGAGGACAGGGTTCGCTATGAGATGGAAGCGTCTGAGACAGCCACCGCCTTTTTTAGCGCCTTTAGGTTTACGCCCCCTGGCCCTCTTATTGCTCTACTGGAATCCTCCGAGAATGACACCATGCTTCTTTGCCCTTAGGCAATAGCATAACTCATAGCGTCGTGCCGCGACGAAGATGACAGCAGATGCAGGCGGCGTGGGTTGGAGAGGTTTCGGAGGATTGGGGTGTTCACGCGCTTGTCGGCACGAGTGTACAAAAACGAAAAGCCAGCCTTGAAACCGGCAGCGTGGGTCGATCGGAATGATGCTGCCCGATCATTTTGCATCAGGTAGATGCTCGATGCGGCGTCGACGCCTCTACGTGCGAGGCTTTGTCTGCCTTCTTTTGCCCTCGGTTGCGACGACGTGTAATACCATCGCCTTAGGCTACCAATAGTGGGCTGACTGGAGCCAGCGCATTTCGACCCGAGCCTTGTACAACGTGGTCATCAAGCATCACCACTGCGGCACAGCGTCTCGAAATAAGCGTAAGAGGGCGAAAGTTCATTATCCTGATGCTGGTGTATAGGCTGGCTCGGCAAGCGCAAAGCGGGATGGCTAACCTCATATCCCGACACAGGCGTTTCGAGACGAAGTAGGTGTGTGTGAGCCAGTTCTGCTCTGACTCGCCAGTGCCAACGGCGCATGCGGTCATGCACCCTCCATGGTATTCTGACGTGAGTCCGGTGGTGTGCGTTCAACCGGACCGTTGCGAGTGTGCCGGCACAGATACTCGGTCTCAGCATGCAGGACAGAGCCTTGCCCAGGGCCGCACATGACGTCCCGAGCATGTCTGACATAAATGGACGACGGGGATGGAGCGGCAGCCCGGCATCGGGCGGGTGAGGAAGATGCATGCAGTGTTACCGCGAATATATCCAAAGGTGGTGTAGGGATGGTGTTCGACAGGGCGTTGCATCCGCCGAATAATCAGCTCAACCTCATCAAACACCACTCGCGAACTGCCACGTTGATGAGCAGCCCAGATCCCCCACGATGCTACCATGCGCGCATCTCCTTTCGCGACCCGGTGAGATACAGAAAGGTGTTGGTGGTGTTGCACGCTCAACGAATGGCAGGCGGGGAAGCGCGTTAGACTCAAGCAGGTGAGAACGCAGATCGGCTAGCACTAGCGTCGAACGCGCTTCGGCTCTCTCTCGCAGGCGCCGTGCTTGCAGATGCCGAACGACCTACAACCATCATCGTTGCTCTCGAGATGCCGTTGTCCGTCTCTGCGTCGGCTCTCCCGTCGTTTCGGAAGCAGCATCTTCTCGTCGAGTTGTGAGTCGAGGCACACGGCTAGCAGCGGCGCTTCCTAACTCTGCACAGCACCCGTCTGCGCTATGCACAGCTGGATGGCGTTTTCTTGAGCATCACGCCCGGAGACCCAACACTGTGGGTTGGCGTAATATTCGTGCGAAAAGGTAGGCTGTTTCATAGGGCTACGCCACGGTGTTGCGTTCCTTGCGACGTTATTCACGTTTGACAGGACCATATGCGCCTGCAGTCTTACGCTTCCAAATCTCCTTCCCACCCAGCTATCCTACTATACCCCCCCTCGTGACCTTTTCTACCGATGTCTTTCACCCGCTGCTCACGCCACTTACCACGTATACTTACACGACTGGCTCCGCCGACACGGATACCGTCAGTGCCACGGACGAGGAACGGCTGCCACCAGGAGGCTTCAGTCTCCGGCACGGCTTCCCGCACTGGTTCGGCAGAGCTCGAAGATCTGTACCGAATTCTCGCGATGTCAGTGGATCTTCAAATGCTCTTCCCGTGCGATCCGACTCCAACGTCGCATCTGGCGTCCTCGGGGCTTCTCAGTCTACTGCGGAGTACTCCATTGTGCGCATGTTAGAGTATATCCGCTCGACCTTTAGTGAGGAGTCAATATTGGACTCCCTTCCACTAGAGGCTGCTGCAAACCCAGGCGCGTATCATGCATGGCGGGCACACCGCGCTCCGATATTGCAATTGCAGCAGTTAGTCCGAGCAACTCCAAGTCCCGACCCCTCCACAACGGACAAGTCAGAAGGTTCATCTGCATTAGGACGTAATCGTCGACCCGGAGAGTGGAACTGGGAGGGGGTCTGGGAGGAACGTGTCAGAAAAGCAGTCAAGGCTAGTATATCGGAACCAGTCCTGTTCGGCGCTGGCGCTGGAGAAGACATTGTAGGTCGCAGCCATATCTGACTAAGCCACTGCTTACTCATGTGATAGATTCGCTTTCGCGAGGCGGACGATGAGATGCACGAGAAGATGAAGAGGCATTTAGAAGTGGCTGCCGCACAACTAGGCGAGGCATGATCGTTGGGTTACTGCTTGGGTTATGAACTGCATCAATTTCATAGGAAAAGCTCAGCATAGTGCTGAACGTGTCTTGATGCGAGGTCGTGATAAGACTGTCTATCTTTGAGAATCAAGAAGGAGCATTGAAGGTTTGTTGACTTCTTCACCTCGCGCCTTCCCGGCTTGTAGCAGTGCTTCTCACCTTTAAACCTCACCTCACCTCACCGTTGGACTTCCAACCTCTGTTCGCACATCCACTCTACATCTCAACTTGGGCATTGCCTACTCTTCTTATCTATCTCCCGTATTCCGTTTGCCATCTGACGTCACTGTTGATAGCAAGACCACGCGCTCTCCAAAAAGTCGAGGTGAATGCGAGCGCGCCGTGGTGACTGGGCTTTTATTTGTGCCTAATTGGGACGCGTCCACAATGATCACAACAACAACAGCTGGCAGCGTCTTTCTGGACCGCGCGCCTCTCTGCCCACCTCCCCTCCACATCCAGAAGAAGTCGCGCAAAGCTACTTTCCGAAGGCGAATATTCCGTAAGTCAACTCCTACCTATAGCGACGATCAGTACGTGTTCGGTCCGCTGGACGACATCATCGACGAGATCAAGAGCGATATCTGGGAGTCCCCACCCGACTACAGTTTCAACTCGTCCGTCTTTGATTGGGCGCAACCGCTCAGAGCACCTTTGTCGTGGACCGTAACACCTCTGCCTCTTAGTCGTGCGCCGAGCGACCAACCTCTGACGATACGCAAGAACAGAAACAGTCGGTCCTCGGCCTCAGGATCCAGCTTTGGAGATCAGATGGCGTTCTCGCGCAAGAACAGCCAAGTCGAGCCCGATAACGGCGACCCGGTACGTTCTATGCATACCACTGCACTTACCCCTTGGCCGTTGATCGATGTGGCGTCGAGCGAGCCTGCGCACCCTCTCTTTGTCGCCGATAGCGCTGAACACATGAACGCGCAACAGGCCCTCGAGAAGGCGATCAGCAACACTGAAGGTCACGCCGAACCCTTGAAGCGGCGCATGTCGTCAAAGCTTCGATCGTTTACCAGTGGTCTACCTCTCTTACGTCGTCACAACACTGGAGAGACTAGCGCTGGTATTAGCGATATGCCGGGTGCAACGTCGCCAACAGCAGCTACAGCGCTTGCGGCTCACGATGAGGCCGAAGAAGGCTTACAAGTAAAGCGCCCGGAGGACCAAGCTGTCCAGGCTTACCTGCTGAGCAACGCCCGCAAGTAAGTTATTGCCTGTGAATATGCGCAACAGTCACTAACATGATAAAGCGGAGACGAGTTTACCTCCCTCATGGGATGCATCTCGAAGCGCATTCCTTCCCCGACTGACTTTGATCATGAGGCTTCGGAAGCGCAGGTGTCAGATTCAACTTCACACTTGCCGACAACCCTGCGTGCAGCGGTTAGACTATTCCCTGAGGTCAAGCTTCTTACCGATGAGTTCCAAGACATCGGCGTCGCTATCGAGATCGAGGGTGTCCTGCACAACCGAAAGCCTCTGCCCGATACCGGTATCGATGTGGTCTTCGTGGTGGACAACGGGTAAGTGTCTGCATGGTGGGATCGATGATGCTAGCTGACATTTCATACAGCTACTACGTGACTCCAGACTGTCTCGAGAGGTCGCTGGATGCGGTCAATGGTGCCCTGGTAAGCCACCATCGTTGATGTCGCTCAGAAGCAATCTACTAACATTTTTAGTATCATCTTGGCCCTAAAGATCGTCTGGCGCTGTACACCACTCACTGCACCCACCGTGATGTCACCGGAAACAGGCCAGAAGTGCTTTATGCACTTCGATCCGTCTGTGCGGAAGTCGATGAGATCTTCCAGGATTTGACGTCTAGGATCGCGCACTCTGGTTCGCAAGTCTGGCATCCGCCTCGTCCAAACCCCACCATGGGTGATGTCATCCTTGGCATCGCCGGATCTATGGCGGGCGAGCACCTCAAGACTGGTCGAACTCATGTCATCGTGCTGTCTCCTGCGGCTCATGTCCTGCACAAGGTATCGAAGTCCTTCCCGGATATCTACATTCACCGCATCAATCCTGCGCTGCTCCCATATCGCCGCGAACCAGAGTTCCAGGATACCATCTGTCTTAAAGACTGCTGCAAGAACGTTTTCGCCAGCAACTGGTCCAAGTACCAATCCACGTCCGGTCGCATTAAGCGCATCTTGAAGAATGCTCGGTCTGAGAAACCCATTGGCGAACTGCTTGACTTGAGCGTCGACCTTCGGACCAAGGCAGGTTGTGAGATTCTCGTTGTCTGTGGGAACAAGGAGATTCACCAATTGTTTCCAGGACAAGTGCACACCCTCTTCGTCTGGATCCGCATCAACAAGGCTGAGACTCAGGGCGTCAACCTTAATTCCAAGAACCCCATTCTCAACTCATGCCTTGATGCCAATGGACTGAGACAGGAGCTGCAGAACTGTCTTCGTGTAGGTGCCACCAAGGTAAACCCTCTCGAGGTGCAGCTACTGCATCGCAGCTCACTCCACCCGACGCGATCATGGATGTATACGGAGGCTCACCTTATCCTCACGCGCGAGCTTGGCGGGTTGGCACCTCTCTTGGACACATCCATGGAGTTCTACAAGCGTCAGCTTTTCTGCAACCTCGCTCGAGTGTCGGCAGACGAGGCTAAAGTCGGGGCTGAAGCAACTCTTAGCATCCTCCCCAAGCACCATGAACAAGCAAAGATGCTGCTGGAGAGCATGTCGCAGGAGATCGAGCTTCACTTGGCGATCCGCAAGTATGAGAAGGAATACCGACAGAGGCTTCCGCTGTGCCCCGGTCCCACCGACGTCGAAGCATCTCACAAGTGGCTTCACGAGCTGTGGGCTCGTAGGAGGAACAAGCGCAGCGGCTCAGATGTGGCCTGATGCCTGCCCGCGAGCATATCGGTGATTCATCAAACTATGGTGGTGAAGGTCGGTGGTGGCTGTCAGCGCCTTTGTTTTTGGCTCGAAGCTGATGGCCAGAGGGTGGAGGAGGATACAGTATCGACGATGCATGTGTTGGAGCAGCGAATCTCGCTTTCGACTTTGGTCCATTGAAGGCCAGTACGATCTGGAACGATCTGTAGGATACACGTCTGGCTATCACGTTCTGGATCATCTTCCACGAGGCGCGGAGGAAGCCGCATTCTGCCCTGGAAAGCCCAGGCCACACCATCCCAGAATGGTTCGCTGGGGGAATTTCTTGGGCCCCGGATCTTCTACGGTCCCAATATTACGATGTACAAACACTATTAGATTATACCCCAGTGCGAACCATGAGCATCAAACGAGAGATCATCCTGCATACGAGATTGCAAATCTCCTCGTGCTGTTAATCGCCGAATGACGTTTGCGTTTTTGCTTTTTCGTTTCATCTCATATGCAGGTCGTCGTTTCTTTCTAGAAGGAGAAGCCCCCGGTCGAACTCGGCTGAACACCCTCTTACCCACGGCAGGGCTCGGATGTAGGCAAAGAAGGCTGAGAAAAAGCAAGGCGATGGTGCACCGGAGTTTGCTCCGTCCACAACCCAGCCTGCATTCTGCGGCTCGATCGCGAGAGGGTTCGATGGCCTTTTCGCGGTTCACCGCTACCGCCGCTTAAACTGCACGATGCTAGTCTTGCATGTACATACGAAGCTGAGATGCCAAAAACAAAAGATACATGCACCATGCACCAGTGCACGCGATCCCTGAGCGACCAGATTTTTTCATGATTCCGTTCCCACAAAACGCAACACCATCGTGCATGCAGCAGTGGCAGCTCACAGACGCGCGCGAGGCACAGACTGCAGACGCAGACAGGGTAAAAGCAGGTGCGCGCATATACCCCCCAAGGCCTAGTTTGTCCATGCTCCTCTTCCGATAATCGCGTGCCGCTCCCAGGAACAAGCACAATTACCCTGACTTTGGCGCCAGCGTATTAGGTCGCTGCTATCAGCCCGGGAAGTTGCCCCGGCGCCCGGCAGCCAGTTACGCGTGGTAGTCGGGCGCGAGCCGGTGTATGTAGGGATAAGGTTTGGGGCTAGCGAAACGTGACGGGCAGAATTGATTTGACCTGACCTGACCTGACCTTGTAGGTAGGATGGATGCCCAAAGGCTGTTTTGGGAGAATGGTAGTGGGAATGGGGGGTTTGGCGAAGGTTGAATACGGATGCGGATCGTACGATGAAGTGGTGCTGGTGTGGGAAGAGATGGGCGAAGGGTATCCTGGGTAGCGTGGTGTGCGTGGGTTTAGTGCGTGCGTGGGTGGGTTGCATCGGACTTGTTCTGGTAAGGCAAGATGTTACCGGTGATGCATGTAGGTGTTTGCAAGGAAGCAGTGTGTGCAGATGGTTGGGGGTTAGAAGATTGCATGAGGCTCTCACCGCAAGAAAGTGATGTACGATGCATTGACTGAGAAGAGTAAGAGGGTCGTATTGTTGTTCTGTTGTGCAGAGATAACGTACATCAATTGTTCATACTGACATAGCGGATTACCTTATGCATTTGCTACTCGAGGAGTGGCTGCACGAAAACGTCCAATTAGGAGTGCTGCCAGAAGGGGTACGAGTCTCCATGTATATTAAGTAAAATTAGAAACTAGCTATACAGATTCTATATACAAGTGAAGTGTTTCTGTAGCGCCGCGAACGAAGTAACATCTCAAAGTGGGACTATCTAATGTGTATAACGCTTCTAGCAAAACGCCCCAGTAAAACTGCTGGAAGAGTGAGACATGAGAGATGCGTGGTGGAACGCTTCGTTCGACATTGGGCGGAGTCGTTATGATAGACCGTTGTACTGAAACTGGGGAGTTGTAACTGTCGTGTACAATGTGTCGACAGGCGACAGACCAAGACTCCAAGGAGATATACTGCATGCAAAACCGTGGCCAAAGCCAAAGGAAAACCCTCAAAACTTCGTCCCCACATCCTCAGGACCCCATCTCGAAACCCGTCCTACCCTCCGTGAGATAGAATCACGATACCCAATTCCAAGTCCAATGCCTTTCTTCTTCTTCGGACTCGCTGTCTCGTCTCTCATATCGCTCATGCTGTGCACTTTGGCAAGAAGGCTCATCCTCGGTCCTTCGAAGCTCTTGTTCGAGTTGGCCATGAAGTTCGTGTTCACTGTCAATGGTGAAGACGAAGGAGAAGAGTAATGGTTGTGAGGCGGAACCACGAGTTGACCGGGGCCAGCCAAGGGTGTCTTGCGGCGGAGTTGAATCAAAGAGCGTTTCTTGAGGGGAGGCGGAGGAGTGAGATTGGGTCGCGGTGGAAGAGCGAAGTGGTGGAAAGGTGGTGTGGGTGGGCGCGACGACATGAGACTGGATGAGCCGTTGGATGTGCGCTTGATCTCTTCCCATCCTTTGTTTCGGGGCGCGGAGGTAGTTGTTGGGGTTGGAGATGATGGCCGGACGGAGTAGGTGGATTGAGTTATTGTTTTATCGCTGTCTGCTCGTTCGGAATGTGGTGGCGATGGGAAATCCTCGGGTGTGAGTGAAGTGTACGCGTATCGGTCGTCTTTGAGTGTGGGAAAGAGGATGCTACCAGTTGATCGAGGTGGTACAACTGCCAAAGACTCTGCGGCTGCTATGCTTGGTAGTGACATCTCGTCGTCCGATAATATCGTAGACAACATCGGTCGTAATGGCGTTCTGCTCACGGGTGCTGGCGCATATACATGTACCATCACTGAATCCGGTGTTTCCGATCTTACATCGACTGGCAGAAGAAGGTCGTGTTCGATCGGATCTGGAAGAGGATCGTCCACGTGTCCCTCTCTGATAGATGCTAGGATCTTGCTCGCCCGACGCCAGGAGGGTGATATCGGTGGGACGTTCCTCGATTCGGAGTCTGGCGAAGGACAGGCACGAAGGCTCCTTAGAGACCTTTGGCTCTTGACACTGCTTCGTCTTGAAGATACTGAGTTGCTACGCTTTAAGCTGCAGCTATTCAGTATGGGACTTATAGTTGGCGAGGGAATGTGGTGGTCGCGGAAGAGTGGTGTCAGAGACGCTGGTATGGGAGGAAGAGGTCTCTGCGGGCCCGCAGCATACTCGACCACCCCCGCTACAAGAGCATCCCCATTATCGCTCGGCGAGGTTATCGCATCGCTACCTCTCCAGTCCACGAAAGGATCTTCAGGATCTTTAAATGGGTCGTCTATCCATGGGTTGCCAGGGTCGCTGTAGTTCTGCGCACTGATGTTGAGCCAACCACGAGGATCGTATTCTCGAGAGTTCTTCGGCACACGAGGCGGTGTTCTACTTCCAGTCGAAGGCAACCCACTCGCTCCACCAGACATGAAGATGAGTGCTTCATCGGATGCAGTACCACTGCCACCGTTCTCGCCAAGTGAGGGATCGTACAAATACGCTTCTTTGGGGTAGACACCAGATGAGCCACCGCTTCCACGCTTTGCCGCATGAATGGCGTGGTAGCGGCGAGCGACGAATATCGCGGCGACTATGGCAAGCAAAATGCCAGCTGTGCTTCCTATAGCAACTCCGGCGGTCTCCTCTGGCGTCAGTGGCTTTGAGGGTGGAGCTGCGGCGGCCACTGTCTCGGTAGCACTGCTGGTGGGCGCGTTGGTCAAAGTTCGGGTCCTCAGGGTAGTGTCGTAGGTGTTTGTAGATGTCGGACTTGTGCGCGAGCTGAGAACCGAGCTCTCAGTCGCCGTCTTCGTCTTCGTTATGAAGCCGCTGAGCGAAGTAGGGGTAGAGAGAACAGCGGAAGTGGCGATAGATAAGACAGGACTTAATGTGAATATGTCGCGTAAGCTACCTGATCTGCTTGCAAGGAAACTGCTGACGATACTAGTCGGAGCCAATGATGCGCTGGGAGTGGGAGTTCCGCCAGTGGTCATGGAAGTTGAGCTGTTCGTCCACCCAGTAGGTACCGTTTGAAGCGGAGGTTCAAGCGGAAAAGGTAAAAGTCCCATGTCAGCGGAAGACGACGCAGAAACTCCTGATGTGGGGGTTGAGTGTAAAGTAGTCGTGTCGCTCGACCAAAGCGGTGCATCTGAGATCTCCGCCGCCTGACTAGATGTCGCAGTACTCAAGATCTGACTAGTCTTAGACACGATGAAGGTTTGTGTGAAAGAGCCAGATAAGCCAAAAGACGACAACATCGTGGCAGTGCTTGCGAGGCTGCTCACTGCTGAGTATGTAGTTCCGGAAGCCAACGAAGAAGAGACGGTTCCGTTTCCTGGTGCCGGCGGAAATATCGACCCAGTTGTCTGCGCTGACGTAGTAGCAATCGAGGTTGCTGGCCTTGTCATGTTGCCGTTGATTGGATTGATAGGTATGGGTTGCGGCCGAACGGTGGTTGAAGAAGTAGTGGCAACGAGGGTGGAGGATGCAGAAGTGGCACTGCTGCTCCGTGAAGTTGAGCTACTGATCCGAGAGCTGCTAGATCGGACAGATGCGGTCGCACTCACTGCAGAAGTCTCGTTCTTTATTACGCTGGGCTGAGCAGAGCTTGTTGGTATGCCCACGATCACTGAGCTTGTAGAAGCTGCGAAAGACGCTGTTGTAGAGATACTGCTCGTTGGACGGAGTGAACCACTGGCGAGAGTTGGAGTCGATGAAAGACCAACCACACTGCTTTCGAGGTGAGCTGAGGCGGAAGGAGTTGCTGCCGACGTGTTAGATGGGGCAGTGCCCTGAACCGGTGGCAGGGCGGCATATCCTGTTGAAGCAGACGATTGTGCTGGTTGAGATGCGACACTGGTTGATGTGACCGCGTTCGTAACGGAGGAGGAAAGAGACGCGAGGCTGCTGCCTCCAATGACCGCCAGAACGGAGCTTGAAGCCACCCAGCTAGCAAGACTAGACACGGAATGTTCAAGTAGTCCTGTAGCCTTTGTGGGCTTACTCGTGACTTCTCCATTTGAAGAGATCGAAGGAAGAGGCTTGTTTGAAGTGATTGCAGTAGCGTCGACGGTGAGAGTCGAAGAAAGAGACTGCAGGGCATGCGAAGGAAGTATCACCATACTAGATGTATCGGTCAGCTTATCAGGTGATGGAGTTGCCTGGCTAGATGATGGTAGATCCGATAGCTTGATTGCTGACAGTGATGCCGGTGCCACACTCTGTGTTGTCTTTGTAATAGAGGCCGTCGCGCTAGGAGTGCTGTTTTGTGCGTCGCTGAGCCCAGTAGACAGATCATCATGGGGAGGGATGATGGCAGAGTATGTACTGGCAGGCAGAAGAATGCTTGACGCTCGCGATGAGTCCGCAATCACCCATGTTGGAGACGGTGTGGATGTACTCGCGGTCGACTTGACGTCCGAAGTGACTGGTAGGACCTGAACTGTGGATGATGCGCGCGTAGAAGAAGAACCTCCTACTGGAATCGAAGATGCTTGAATAGGTATAGATGTCTGTATTTGATCGATCAAAGAGATCGATGATGGTACAGATAGCTGCTGCGTTCCTGTGATGATAAGGGATATCGCCGCCGACTCGCCCGTAGCAGAGGATACTGCAGGCGCGCTGCTACTTGCGCTACCATATGAGCTTGTTGTTCCATCTGAGTCTTGTTTCGTTGGATTTGGCTGGCGAGAGGAGCTGGTAGTCTGGATAGTGGCTGTTGACGGCGCGTTGATCTCGGACTTCGACGTCGTAATAGAGTCCACTGTCGTAGAAGTGTAGAGCGTCGATGTAGCTGATGTGCTTAGGCTTGTTGGAATTATCTCTGATGTGCTCGTATCATTGCGAAAATGCAGATCGCGCCGTGGAATTATAGGAGATCTCTCGTTCGTGAGATGAGTATTAGAGAGGCTTGCAGCTGTATGACATTAGTCAATGCAACCATCTACCAGCGCTCCACTTACTCTTTGAACCTGATTCAACATTACTCGCAACTACCAAAGATGCAGTGCAACAAGCGAACAGAACACGCTCGAACCAACCCATTGCATGCTCACGAGATCTGAAACGAATGACTAGAGGAAAGCAAAGCAGAGTAACAACAACGAGGCGGAGGCAGCACGGCAGATACCCGGAGATGATGAAACAGACAACAAAGAGGCAACATATAACTATTGAATTCCGCGCCTCGTGCCTCAAGGCCGTGGTCCTTCGTACGGTTGCACTTTGTTCGGACCGAGTTGGGTTAGGCGCGAAATGTACCTTGCATGGATGCTGTAGGAACTGGGGCTGAGTCGACCACACCTTGCATTCAACCCCGAGAATACTCACTGCATCAGCTATGATTAGCTCAGGATTCCGGCTGTGGCGCGCGATCGTTCGCATATTGTGCATCAGCCGCCCGATCGTTTATAACAGTTGTCAGAAGTGGCATTTTGGTCGCATTACCCATGATGTGCTGCGCAAAATACCTTCTATTGACTTCGCTAAACTGACAGAAGAAGCGCTGCTGACTGCCGACCCCGAATATTGACGTGGCGCAGCCCTCTCCAACCTCTGCGACCTCGACAGCGTCTGCGCCGCTGATTCGGCTTCGCGGTAAAATTCCAACGAACCTCTCGAGATTGCGGCGGGGCGTTGCTGGTTGGAACATGCAGTTCTCACTGACGCTGCTGGCCCCAGGCGGTTGGAACGGGTGCGCTCCGTACCGCCCGTAGGAACTGCCGCTCTTCCCTGTCATCACCGTGTCGAAGGAATCGTTCATGCACCGGTGGAACCATCACCGGTGACGACCTTGGCTTGGCTGTCGCGAATAAGCTCCCCGATCCAAAGAGGCAGTGCTCGGATAATGGGAGTAATCGCTGGGCCAAGAATCAGTTGCCCGCTCTTGACTGAGACTATCTGGTTGACCATGGCCTCGGCTACGTCTTCTGGCTCTAGGATGTTTGCGCGCACGCTTTTCAGCCCCGCCGCAATCGCCTCGTGTGAGGTGATTGCTGACTTGGTCCAGTTGGGATGGACCATGGAGGTCTGGATCGTTGGACACTTGTAGCGATGCTTAATCTCTTGAGTCAATCCTTCGTGGAAGGCTAGCAGTGCCGCCTTGGTGGCGCTGTAGTCTACGGCACCTGCGAGAGCAACGAACGAAGCAAGACTTGCGACGCCCATGATGTGGCCTTTCTTCTTCGCGAGCATGTCTGGCAGAAACTCTTGGACGGTACTCCAGTGACTCAGAAGATTGATGTCGAACATTCTGTTGAGGTTGGCTTGGGGGATGTCTTTGACAGTCCACGCGTTACCGATGCCGGCATTGTTGATTAGTATGGATGGTGAGCCCAAGTCGGAACGTATGGCTTCCGCCGCCTGATGGATGTTGTCTCGCGAAGTGATGTCACATTTGTAGTATCGTACGAGGGCAAGCTCATCTAAGATCATTAGCTTGAAACACGGCGATTCTGTGCCGCAAAGTACCTTTGGTAAAGATTTCTGACAGGGGGCTAACGTCGAGAACCGCGACCTTGATGCCATGAGAGGTGAGCTTCTTGACCACACAGCCTCCGATGCCCGCCGAACCACCCGTGACTACAGCGACTTCATTCTTCCAATCCCAAATAGACTTGTCGGTCCTCCAAATCCATCGCCTTTCGGCAAAGCGATTGAGCACTGAGTTGAAGTCTACCAGGGCCCATATCGGCAACGCCCACTTGAGGTAGTAATGGAGGGTTACAAGCTGACTGCTGGAGAGACCGAGTTTCCCACCAAGTCTGAAGTACTCGGGTTTGGCGACTCTGAGCAGCACGGCTGCCAGTGTGAGCAAGGCACATCGGATCATGATGGGGCTGGTAGATGGGGCGAAAGCGTTTATTGAAAATGGGGGCTGATGGGGTCGAGGCAGGTACTATGCAGGTACTGATACGAAGTTTGGGGGCTTCCAAGAAAGGGCGAAAGATAGGCAAACGATTGAACGCCTGTCCAAGGCAGAAGTAAATGCCCAAGAAGTCATATGTACTTTTGAGGTTTGCTGGGTACCGAGGCATGTAGGACTAGCCTGGACAAGCGTTGTAGATCATTGTTCAGAACTGGGGCCGCCATTCGCTAGTCCCGCGACGCGATATTGACGATTGAAATATACAGGATTGAACATATCTTCCTAACGACGCCACTGTCGCAATCAACGCATGTCGTTCGCTCGTCCGCACAGTCTGAGCGGTACGCTGACGCCGTTTTTGTATCCCGCCTTCCTCCACGTGCCACTTGCCTCGGCAGCGCGCGTATGTCCACTACGCAAACGATTCCCGCTACAGCTTAGATGCAACTCCACGTCTGCTGAGCAACCCGATGCGAACCCGAATGCGCAATCTTCGCGATTAGATCCTACGGCGGACGACTATTCCCTTACGCCCTTTGCCGACCGATGCATCCTCACGGTTGAAGCTGGTGGCGGCGGTCACGGTTGCGTCTCGTTCTTGCGCGAAAAATACATTGAAGAAGGGCCTGCCAATGGCGGCGACGGTGGCAGTGGAGGCAACGTCTACATCCAAGCAGTCCGCGGCGAGACGTCATTACATAAGCTTGCGAGACGGCGACAGATCAAGGCGGGCAGAGGGCGCAATGGACAGGGCAAGGTCAAAGGTGGCGAGCGGGGGACCGACGTCTTGATCACGGTGCCTGTGGGGACTATCGTGCGCGAGCTACAAAGACATGATCCGGTGGCAATCATGGAGGAGGAGCACTGGAAGATGGAGCAGGATGAAGAAGCGGAGGAGTTGGAGGAGGGACAACCCAGCTACAGGAGAGACCGTTGGCTGGTTTACCCCGGTACTATACCCTCGGAGCTGAGCAGGATCAAGTTTCCCAAACTTCCCCCGCCGCGACGATCGCATCTTGCAGCCCTCGAGCCGGAAGCGCCCATGTGGCTGGACTTGGACAAGCACATGGAGACGCCTATGCTGATTGCAGCCGGAGCGATGGGCGGCCTGGGCAACCCGCACTTTATGACGCCGTTCAACAACAGGCCGAAGATGGCTACGCGTGGAGACGAAGGCCTGAAGATATCACTACAACTAGAACTGAAGATTCTCGCAGATTTGGGACTGGTCGGGCTGCCCAACGCTGGAAAGAGTACGCTCCTTCGTGCTTTGAGCAACAGCCGTGCACGAGTCGGCAATTGGGCTTTTACGACCCTCCAGCCGAACGTCGGTACCGTTGTTCTGGACGATCACAAGGGGCGACCGCTTGTCAGGTCACGCAGACCGAATGGAGAGCTACGAGAGAACTTTACCATTGCCGATGTGCCGGGTCTTATCGAAGATGCGCATCTAGACAAAGGGCTTGGGCTAGGCTTCCTGCGACACATTGAGCGCGCCGCAGTCCTCGCCTTCGTCATCGACCTCTCCGCCGGTGATGC